AGGCAGTTCTACTATACGGAGCTGAAACTTGGAGAACTAAAACAACCACAATCAAGAAAGTACAAGTATTTATAAATAGCTGCCTACGCAAGATACTCAACATCCATTGGCCGGATACCATCAGCAATAGCCTTCTGTGGGAGAGAACAGACCAACTTCCAGTTGAAAAAGAAATTAGAAAAAGACGATGGAAATGGATAGGACATACATTACGCAAATCGTCAAACTGCATCAAGAGGCAAGCCCTAACTTGGAATCCTGAAGGGAAGTGTAAAAGAGGAAGGCCAAAGAACACATTGCGTCGGATAATAGAAGCAGATATGAAAAGGATGAATTACAACTGGACGGAGCTAGAAAGGATTGGCCAGGACAGGGTTGGATGGAGAATGCTGGTGAGCGGCCTAAGCTCCTTCACGAGGAGTAACAGGCGTAAGTAAGTAAGTAAGTAAGTATATTTATTTCTCTATCTTTTTTATATATCCAGTCAAACAGGTAGTATCAAAATCATTGAGTAGTATATGTGAATAGGTCTTTTAAATTGTGTGACATATCTCCATAGTTTTTTTTACTAAACGGGAACTTTATCGATTATCTTAGTTATTTAAACCAGACACTAAACTGGCATGTTTTTACTACTGTACAAGAACACACTCGGAGAGGATTATGGCAAATCTATCTGAAATTCAGGAAGATAGGTTTATTTCACAGAAAAAAACTTCCATACAAATAAATAGAGCAATTAAAGTTGAGAATCAACAGTACAATAAAATTTTGAACAATTTTTATGGTTAAAACGAGGAAAGGCTCTTTATAGGTACATATTTGTTCATACCTTATACCAATATATAAATACCAGTAATGAATAACATTTGGAAAAAAAATGAAAAATTTACTCTTTCTCATAACTATTGAGAGACATTGTTAAACGGTATAACAGCGTCAATAATAACAGTTACACTAAATTGGAGAAAAACGACAAACAATAGATTTAGGGGAAGGGTAAAGTCCGATTTGCCCTTCCTCATATTGCTCCCTGGATAGCGGGTGATCTTTTTCTCCATGGATTAACGCAAGTGGCACATCAGACACTGGACTGAGCACCCACTCTACCAAAGATGGAGATCGGAGTAATCATCCACTCTGTCTTAATTCTGATTAACAAAAGATATATTAAGTCTGAATTAAGAGTGTGAATGTGGAGCTCGAGAAAGCTTTATTTTGGTGCCTGAACAGACTGTTTGGAAGAGCCCATAAGGTCTGGCAGGGGCGGGTCAGAGCGAAGGCCATAAAGTGTTCTGTAACCAGTGCACATAGGTCAACCCTAAGCCTGCTTGTGATATGAACGTGATGTGAGCATATCGTTTATGACGACCCATTTTATATACTAATTAGAGTACTTGATATTCATTTAGTGATTAAAGCTTCTAGGCTACGACCTGGGGGTGATCTCATCTCTACCTATACACATTCTGTGGCATGCTTGGCTCTCGGTCTATGCAGGTAACATATGTTTGCGAGCAGAAACTTCTGTACCTATCTAGACTCTTAGGAAGAGTGAACTTGTTTGTGCATTTTATGATTAGATGTACCGTATATCAGCAACCGCACTCATCAATACCTATACATGTATCACTGGAATATATGTATTTCTAATGTGAGAATTTCATTATATGCATACATGACATACTTGAAAGTTCCACTTTCTCCACTGGTGAACTCATAAGTAGTTCATCAGAGCTTTGGCTTACATAAAACATTTCGACATTGATGGGAAAGTGTAGTGTTGCCAAAATGTGTCCGTCTTCCCTATATGTTGGTTGGTTAAAGAGTTTGTTTTATTAATTTTGTAAATTATATGGATACGTTAAACTATTGAATAATTAACATTAGCCACTGACAGTTATTATTATGATTATCGTTATTATTATTATTGGCTTTATTCAGTATTATACTTTTTGGTACAATGTCGAATTTTCAGCACAAAGTATTTCAACAAGTTTCTTCTAGGAAACTAAAATAGAAAAAAAGCCAATAAGTGCATACATATATACAGAAATAAAGTGAATAATTTACCTAGAATTAAATGAAATGTATTTTTTTTGAGGAAGACTAGATATATTATAATACATATTATGTTACATAATATACACAGCTTTTAATTAGAAACATTTTCAAGAATACAAGTTCGATACAATCAAATTTAATTGTCGACAAAATGTTTTAAAGAACATATATTTCACTGTATAGTTGAATGTCATCAATGATGGAATCAGTGTTTCTGGTATAAACAACTCTTTACCAACAGTCTTGCATTCTCCTTTGTATTTATCCATTTCTGTCTTATTCTCTTTTTTTCTGCATGACCTGCCATCTTCCACAGAAAACACTTTTGTGAAGTACGCGGATGATCTCACTGTATATATGCCTATATCTTCCTCTTTACATTCCATAGAAATGAATGAGTTTTTGTCTCGTATTGATTGTTGGTCTGTTGGTAATGGTCTCATACTTAATCCGTCTAAATGTCAAGCTGTTAACTTTAGCATGAGACATGAACGGAATATAAACACTATTTTGAGATCCCATAGTGCTTGTACCATCGGAGACTCCTTGATAAACTCAGTGTCGGAGGTCAATTATCTTGGTGTCACCTTTTCCTCTGATCTCTCTTGGTCTTCCCACGTTTTGTTGTTATCAAAGAAGGTTTTCCGTCTGACCTATTACATAAAGAGATTGCATGCTCTTGGAATTACTCGTCATTTACTCTTACAATTTGTCAATTCTTGCATATTACCTATTATTATTTACTGTTCTCCATTATTCTTTCGCGGGCTTTTGAGAAAAGACTTTGCTGTATTGCGAAGAGTGCTGAAGGCAGTTAGCAAGACGTGTGGTGAATCTTTCGAGGTCATAATTAATATGGTTGTGGATAGACATTTAAAATCATGCAAACTCCTGGCAGGTGTTATTTTACCAGATACTAGCCATCCCCTTCACTCTTATCTTTCTCCTTGTATATCTTCTGGTAGAACGAGACGTAATTACATTAAAATCCTTGCACGCAAGGAAAAGTATAAAAGTTCTATAATACCTTACCTAGCAAATATACTCTGTGACGAACAGGTTGTTAGAATTAACCTAGTCAATAACTTACATTCTTAACATGTCTTTAATTTTAAAAGTTTGTAGTTTTTTTGGTTTTTTTTAAATATATTTCTTTTTGTATTTGCTACTGCCTTTTTGTTCGTTGTTCAGTAAGTAACTTGTTGAAATACCCTGTGCTGAGAATTCTATATTGTACCAAAATATAATATTGAATAAAGCCATTAATAATAATAATAATAATAATAATAATAATAATAATAATAATTCCATTGAACAAATAACAAATAACGGTCTATCGTGTGGTCATAACATCATATAAAATACAATAGTAGAGTAAGAATTGGTGAGACTATAATTTATGGACAACCATTGAGCGACTCTAAAGTGACCTCGAAAACATTCATCAACTTACTAGAGCCAAATGAGGGTTATAAACCTGTGTGAAGAATAAAGATTATGATTTACAGTTGATGGTTAAGGTGGGGAATTAGATTTAGGGTTTTCGTCACGAACTGATATCAGCTATAATGTCAAAACTCTATTTAGCCAAATGGATGGATGACCTTCGGGCTAAGATCCAAGACCTGTTGTCCTAAATTTGATTGATTCGTCCATAAATTAGACTCGCCATGTTTAAAAGAAAGTATTTGTCAGTATTCGTCTACCATAGTACTAAAATCCTTATTTGATGGCATTATTCACCAACTATTTTTTCAATCCATAGTCTTATTTCACAACTAGAAGGACTTTATTAGTTACATGTTTTGTCATTGATTTTTACGAACCTGAATCCATTGATTTAGTCATGTTGCTACTCAACTCAAGGCATAAGTTTTTCTGTTACCACACTTTTTAATCTTCATTTTATGACTTTCGCAGTATGATAATGAATTGTATTCGCAAGATTTAGTGAGGATTATTAGAATTCAGATGAAATTACAAAACACTGAATATTATGTTACGTGTTTACACTACCTTCTAATCAACTCTACTTGTTTATTTAGTGTATACTTAGGTGCTGCGGACATCCTTTTCTCAGTAAGCTATATAAAAAAACAGAGCTACCTTACATCACCATTGTATTTTACTAAGATAAGAACTGACGTGTTTCTTACTATTCTATGAAACTTTTCCTGCTTAATTATAATTGAAATTTTATCATGGCAATGTTTGTCTGATATTTTACACTGTTTCTATTTCAGTAACAAAGTACGTAAATCATTGGTTTTTTCAAGCAATTCCACTCCTTAATTAAACACACTAACATATTTACTCATTTTCTCTCAACCATAGAAATTTTACCATTAAATAGTGACAGCAATAGAAAAAAAAAATGTCATTTAGCAATGACCTATCAGATGCACCAACTAATAGATTTCAGAGGTCTAGAGGACTAGTGTAGTCTGTCAAACCCTAGAAAAAATTGCTTTGATTTGGTTCGCTTGCTTTGCACAGGGTCAAAATAACGCCTCCCCTAGTTTTAGAAACCAGACATGTATGTCAGTTTAATCTGCCTGCCTCTCTAATGTATGAATCAGTCGATTGGCCTAGAGGATAGACAGACACGTATAAATTAAAATCGCTCGTGTCACTGAGTCAGCCTGGTCTTCAGGATTGTCCAGTGTTTGAGCCTGCGTGCCAGAATTGGCATCAAGCTTGGCATATGTACTGTAACTATATATAGGTTGTTATTCAGTACAGCTGCAAACGTTCGCTTCTCTCAGGATTCGAATTGGGATTGTTGTTGATGGTGGTCTATTTTGCCTTGCGAAATTGCATAGAATTTCAGTGAATTTGCACATGTTTTCGGTCTTCACATCCCTAAATATCTACTGATTATTACATCATTCCTGCAGCCCATTCTGGCCGTGGATCACGTTAAATCGTTTGCTTCCATGTCAACGACGGTTGTAGGCCAGAGGCCGGCTCCTCATCGCCCTTTCCGCGGTTTAGTTCAAGTGGGCTACACTCCTTCACGAGCTACACCCCCAGCCACGCCTGTTGATGCGACGACAACGCGTGAGGAGGCGCTTCTTGCAACTTCCGTCAATGGATGTATTACTGGTGTCAGTCATATAAAACCTTTCTTCCTACCCCCTCGTGGTCAAGGAGAGGGAAATCATGGCTCTGTGGAGAAAGGTTTGGGCTACGGGGCATTCGGAGTTGTTTGGTGAGTCGTATATTCCTTTTTTTCTAAAGAAATATTATCACTGATTTTAAGATCTACGTTGTTAACACAATTCCACATATACATATTAGTTTCGTGTACTCGTCAAAAGTCTTAAAATTCATTTTGGAAGATAAACTGGTACATCGGTTTGTACTTGAATAACTTCGACAACTGTTGTGAGTTTAGTCAGTTGTTAGCATAGTTTTGCCAGTAAGCAATATCCTTTTGAATACATGCCATGAATGCTTTGTAGTCCAATTGAATCTAACTCAAAAAAAATATGGTTAGCCGATCGTCAGTAGTAGGCACTGGTAGTAGTTTACTCTCCATTTTATTCTCTGAATGATTTTAAGGCATCAATTCTGCAAAAACTAAACGCTGAAACTCCTTGCTAGTAGTGACTTTTTATATAACCGTTTTTCTCAATTTCTGAAGAAAAAATAAAAGTTGTTAATTGGCCTTCTACGAGGCTATGCTACAAGAGGACTTCTGCAATTGAATAATTATCATTTTGTCACTGATTCTATTTCATGGTTCTTTCAAACATCTTATAAAAATGGTCGTATTGATGTATGGTTGTGGTTGAGATTCACGGATGGAAAATCTTAATGGTAGTAAAACACTCCTCGCTAAAAAGCTAAAATGACTGACAACTTTGCAAAGAACGCTTGTAGAAATTTTCTTCTTCGTTGGCTTCATTGTCTATTTCTTCGTTAGATTTCGTTTAAAGGATTCAGTCAGTGTGTTCATTTTATTCTGTGAACCCATGTTTAAGCTTGTAAGGTAACTTGTTCAATAAGTTTTGTAAAAGATACTTAGAATACTCACTTGTTCATGAATGAGGAATATTTGCTAACAGACAAAAGTTTGACTAAGGCCTTACACCACATATTATCGATTTTTCTTTTGTTATCACATTTGTCATGATTGATAAAACTAGTATACGGAGTACTAGATAAATGCATTTTCCCAATCACTCTATTATTTGAGGAAAACATACTGGGCATTTACACTTTATTGTTTGAAAGGCAAATATCAAGTAATGAGTTTTGTCATGTTTTACTAGAGGATGACCATAGGGTGTGTATTCTGTCCATAGATTCGAATGTATTTGTTTACTAGAGTGGTGAAGCCATTCTAATGTTCACTGTATTTCCGGTGTAGATTTAACTACTTTATCTTGTCTTTTTCTGATAATTGCACATTCGTGATCCTCCATCCTAGCAAATTTGATCAAACTAATCATAGTATTTGGGATGAGTCAGTAATAAGATGGTATAATTTCGCTGATAACCCTTTTGTGAGTGTAACAGTTGTATCTTTTGAGTCGGTAGTTAGGTGAAGCGAACAGAACAGTTTCTTCATGACTATTCATTGATATATTTGGGTGCAGACTAGAATACTGCCGAAGCCCACAGATCGAAACAGATATCTTTCTTTAGTGGTCACTCCCAGAGCCTGAAATTCCAATCCACAATCTAAAATTCGTATATTAGGTGAAAATAAATAATAGTCGGTAGGTGTTGTGGATTTAACGCCAGCCCAACTCTATTGAAATAAATGTTTCAATCTTAAGTAATTTTCTTACAAAGATCCAAAGGATTGCATTATTGATTCTAATCCAGAATATTCAATCGACAAGTTGAAACTCAGGTCAATATATTTCGGTTAGGTCATCTGGATAGTATTGTTGTCTTTAAAACTGTAGTTCGAAGACGAATACATAAATCTAAATGAATTCCATCATCAAATTATATATTTTTTGACTTGATAGGGAATTTGACACTACCTACATTAATGTTAATTTCTGTCGTGCCAAATTTTTGATTATTGTAACTTTTAGCTGCTACTTATTCTCAATTATCTGCAAAAACGGTAAAATCGTCACGAACATTACATCATTCCTAGAATTTCATACCCAATGATTCGTACTGTTTTGTTTTAAGTTTGGTATCACTTTCGTAGGTTATGTTGATTATTCCTGGCTCTCTAGATTTTAGTAGATAGAACTGTGTTAAATCTTCATTGATGGGTAAAGTCAAGTACCTAAAACATCGGGCAATCGATATTTATCCATATATCTTCAATGATGAGTTGTAAAAGCGTAATTTGATATCACTTTGGAATTTGGGAATTTCGTCAGTTATTGACTGGGTTTACTGATCAGTGAACAGTTGTTTACATTAATTTGTTCATAACATTTTAAAGATTCATGCGTCGCATATAAAATGAGTTCTATTTAGGCAGGTATTCCGTTTTCAGCTATGAAATTCACATACGAAATCTCTACATATTTAGTATCGTTTAGTTTTCTCATAACATATATAGTTTGGTTTCTTGAGTACATAAAACTACTTTTCTAAGTACGTCCGGCTAAAAGATTCCCTTTTTACTCATCAGGATTGTTTAGAGAATACTGTGTTTCTGTTGAGTGGGATTAGTTCCTATCATTCTCAAGATACAAATCAAACGGTTCAGTTATTTCTAAAGCTACTTTCATGCAGTTTATCGACCATATTTTAGTATAAAACCTTTTATTTTGAATAATGACAGTAAGGAGTTATAGTATCTTGGTTAATCTGTATTACCATCTTTATTACATACTTATTGAAATGAGATCCTCAAATCGACTATAGACAAAAATATATCTAAAAAAGCTTATTCGAATATCCCTTTCGTTATTGCAGCAAATACGTAGTGGACATTATACGGAATTGATGAACGATTTAATCTTTGAATGTTCACCACTCTGATCGTAATTCCAACCCCACAGTCGTTATTGTGTGATGTTGAAAATCATTGTGCCCACTAAAGTTTCTCATAGATGTATCTGTCAAAATTGTACTCCCTCTCTCACGTCAACAAAACTTTTCATCAAATTCACAGCGTAGCTGTTTGGCTGGTGTATTCCATGTACATACTATTAAAATATTTAGGCATCTATAGTTATTATGAATCTTTTTTTATTTTGACTATTCTGAAGCGTCACTATCTGATCAAAATGTACGTCAGATGTTTAGTTGAACTTTTTGTAATAATCATTATCTAGTTCTGTGATATCTGACTGCTACTAAATTCTGGTAAGTAGATGAAGGACATAAGTAGATTACTATTAATATATATTAGACACCAATTTGTAGTAGAAAACTGGTCATCATATTAATTTTGTGTGTAAAGTGCAGTGCGTGTGCTCAGACCGAAGATCCTGGGTTCGAGCCCCGCGTGCGGGATCGTGGACACGTGATTCTGAAGAGTCCCATAATAGGACGAGACGACTGTTTCCAGGTTTTCAATGATAGTCTAACATTGATTCATTCATGATATCAATCTAAATTGTGTGTTGTGTTGAATTACCATATCGTATTTTTTGTAAATCAAAAATATTCTAGTTACTAGCCCTTTTTTAATAAAATACAAAAGAAGTACAACTACTTTTCACCTAACGATTCTCATCCCATTTCCAATCTATGTGTTTGACCTACAAATTTTGAGACCTTTCTCTAACGTGGAAAAATCGAAAGTTACTGGTCAATAGTTTTTGTCTCAAATAAAATCCATTTAAACTCAATCACTACGTTGAATCGCACACACTGAATCACACTTTATTTTTTAGTGTCTTAGGCATCTTATTTCCCTTTGTTAATTTTCTGAAAACTATATTTTCATCGCTAATTTTATCTTTCTACACTATTGAAGTGTCAAAGTCTAAGCTTATGTGCTTTCTTAGGTGCATTCACTCTCCACTTCTCTTACATCACAAGCTTCTAAATTCATTATAATTTTTTATTTCATTAATTTGTATTTAAATCAATCGAACCTTCCATATCTAATCTTATTACCATAAATACCTTTGCTATCTGTACTACTCTGGGATTCGCCATGACAACCCACTGTGCTAATATGGTATAGTGAATTGAACGGATGTACACATGTGCAAAATTCTGCGTTTTGACTGATCGTGTACTTTCGTACCAGTCTGTATATTGATATATTTATCTAATAATCACTAAGTCATTAGTCAAAGAAAGCATTTCTGGTTTTTGTAAATGCGTTCATTATCATTTTCGGAATGTGGAAAGGTATTGTCATTTACCATAATGGAAAACATCAATGTAATTTGTCCAACTTCAATTAAACGAGTTTCAGTCAGTCAGCTACAACGTAGGACTAGACACATGTATGCATCGGTCCAAGTTGCCACACCTCATCAGCACTACACGATGAACACCAGATTCATAGAAGTAGTTAATTCAGTGATAGTAAAATATAAAAGATTGTATATAAGGACATAATGCAGGAAGAAAGAATCAGTTCGTAGAAATAAAGGTATAAAGCAATTAAACTAGCTTCCTTCATATCCTACCGTTAATTTAGTCTGTAACAACATGGATATCCTACTTGTCAGTGGAGTGACAACTAATGGGTTTTATCAAACTACCTACGTGTATAGTGAGTGTTATTGTTTGACAAGTTGGCTTGCAAGGGTACTTTCATCAGCGAATATTGTAATTTGGTAGTTCACTTTTTCAATCGTGCTCCGATTTTCATCAGTCTTTAAAACAAGAATTACGATTAAGTGGTTATTGACCGTGGGACTGTTGATAAGTCTATATTTCAGCACAATTAAACCAGACTTCTAAGATGACATATAATACCATTGAGTCCTATCTCATTTCATTCATTTTAAATGAAGATTCATTTAATCAGTGTACATAGATGACACAGTTCCGTTTGCTGGCGAGTAGCAATCTCATGAACACAGAGTAAAAATTCAGAAAATATTTAAATGTATTTCATACCTCCCCGAATGTAACATGATGCTTCAAAACTAGCATATGTTGGCGCTCCATTTGATAATAAGGAGTCCAGTAGTTAAACACTAAATATTTTGATCACCTTGAAAATTCCATCAGTAATGGTAATCTAGTAGTTGATGAATTTTCACCACGAATGTGAAAAACGTGTTTTAACTTTTGCTGTCACATGTGATATACTTTGAAGCCTAACAAAAGACATGTATATCTCATAATAATCCTCTTTGTTTTTTGTGTGAATGTAAAGCAATGTAATATGCAATCATAGGTGTCTTTAAATAATTGTTCGTCTGAGGTTTGGTGTTATTATCAGATGAGCAACCTTGATCTTAGGCATGGAATACTAACCTTGATAAAGTTGTAAATCTTCACTAAGTGATATGGTTTGAGGTACGTATTATACACTGTTTAGATTTTAACATTAGTAATAAATCAGCATCTTTCCAGTCATAATCGACGTAGAGCCAAGTATGTCTGTGAGCTGACCCACCATCTTTTCACTACCCTAACTCAGTAGTTAGTCAGTCAACTACAACGTAGAACCCGGTGCATGTGTGAATCGGTCTAAGTTGTCATACTCTATCAGCACAGCGAAATGAAGTTGTCAGAGTGAATTTTTCGCGAAACTAGAGCATACATATTTGAGCTGCAGTGACGTATCTTCTTATTCGGTCAAACTGGATGGTTTAGAAATGCAGCTTACAGTTGTGTAATGATTGTGTACTCTACATTTTCTATTGACATAGCAGTAAGTAATTTGATACTCCCAAATGCCCTGGTATGGCCGAGGGTGAAGAGAATCAGCTCTCCCTCTCGAAATGCTCTCATATGGCCACGTGCATACAACCACTGCCAGGGTAGTCCCGCTCACTACCTTCTCGCGGCTGGGGTGTTGTTTACGAAATTGAGAGGACAAAAAGCGAATGTCTGGCGCTTTAAAGGGGTCGGTGGATACGGAGGGTCCACCTAGAGGAGTTGGAAAACCTTGATTCCAAACCAATGGTGTACATGGGATTCAGGATCCTAAGGAAATAAATGGTATATGAACCTATTGTTAGTCACTGGTGCCCCCTGGTACCAATATTTATATGTTTAAATAAATAAAAATAATTAATAAAAGGTAATTTGACCAGTTGATACAGAACTCTTGCTTGTCTAACATTAATCATGTATTAGTATTGTTGTTATTATATTGGGTAGTTAAGCGTTTATTGCATTTAACAATTCATTTAGTTTTTTCCTAGCTTCAGCAAGTGGACTACATTCATTTTTACTCATACCATCATGTCTACTTATATTCTCCTTATATGAATAACTGAGCAATATGAATTTTTATCAGATTCCTTTTCTCATCATTATAATACTGGTGTTCATCTACAAAAGTAAATGAGATTTCAATCAGTATTGTTGTGAGATTTATATATGCTTGTCCCCGAATAATTGATTTTCTTATTATTCTCGTGAAAATTCTAGGTCAGTTATCGATCCACGTGATGGTCAAAAAGTAGCACTCAAACGCATACCACGGGTTTTTCATAATCCTATTACAGCTAAACGTGTTCATCGGGAATTAAAAATGCTCTCTTGTCTTAAACATGAAAATGTAAGTCGAAATCAATGCATTGATGATTGTATATTAGATGTTAATCAAAGTCGTGTTGTAAATAATCGTGTTTATTTCGCATAAATATTTCATCTTTATATCAGAACGTGTATCTCCTATACATAAGTTTAATTTTATGTTGACTTAAACTATACGTGAATTATTCCATACGACTAACCCTTGTTTGATGTATATTGTTCGCTTCACTTCGAAGAAAGCAAGAATGAAGTTTTGTGTAGAGCTTACTGGAAAATTGATTTTCGGTCTTTGACAAATTTGTGTAAGAATTCCTGCATACTTTGCATTGGAGAGGTCTTGGATAGGTGGTGACATTTTTTCGACATATCTAAATATTCACTAATAGTATTAATCCCTCTTCTCAATTGTTCAATCAGTAACATTTTTAGATTCAGATCTTGGTTTTTGCTCTCTCCAAAATAATATTTGCGAAAAACCCTCGACGAAGTCGATAATTTGATGTTGAGAAACGGATTTATTCACCTCATTTCTACAAAATAGAATTCTTGGTACTTTATTAGATAATGAGTTTAGGTGAACGTGATGTAGTTGAACGCCTATTTCTGTTCTAAAATTGGCCTCAATATTGAAATGAAGTCAATTTGATTTTTTCATCTTGTCAACAGTTGGTTTTTTCAACGTAGTCAGCATATATTGTTTATTGAACTGATAATCTGAAGGATCGTTGGTTAGAAGGCTACTTCTATGATATAAACAATTTTCTTTTAAGTTCTAACCATTCTTGAATTCAATATTAATTTCAATAGCTGTGATCTATTAAACTAAGAATATAAAATAAGGTTTTCGTTGCAACAGAACAAATAATGTTAATAATTCTGATATGGTATTGCAACTTGAATTAACGTATATTTGGACCAGTCTCTACGTTGATTATGACTTACCGAATAGACAGTATTTTTAAACCACTACAGCAAAATACACTTAATGGTTGGTAGTATTCGAAATTTTGATAATTTTTTTAGTTCAAATTGTTATTTACTGTAATAGTTAGAATGTGGTATTCACTGAATATGCTCCAAAGTTATCTGTGTTGAAGTATATGATTAATAGCGTCCTAAACACATTCTGCCAACAAACTAAAAGTCTCTGTGGTTTATTAGCGTGGGGAATTGTTTGCTAATTAAGTAGACTATATGTCCAAACTCTTTCCACTCAGTGAAATTCGGTCATTTCGATGGTAGGAGATTAGCTTCGGGCACTTTGATTTGTAACCTAAAATATAAATTCCTATGTAGTTCTCAAGTTAATTGTTATTTTATATTGCCACATTCTTCGTTGTAGTTATATTTAACATGATTAAAAAATATTTTTTCCCGGAATTAATTGTCTTCAACACTCAAACTACTAAAAATCTACATGAAATATTTCTTTTCCAATTTAAGTAAACTTTTGTGTCTTGAATCTAATTGGCTTGGTATTACTTCGTGTAACAAATTCTATTTCTTACTTTAGTTAGTAACTGATTAATTATAGCTGCTTCGAGTATCGCCGGTGAACTTTTGTAGTACATCTCTATATATTTATGGATAAACAACGTATATTTTTTAATAGATAAATATAAAATTAATTTAAACAAATTAGTTTTGATAATATGTGAATAACTAAATGAGTTTGGATATCCCAGACGCTGCCGAATCATTGAAATACAATTATAATTCGCTCAGACCACAATCCAAACGACTTCATATTAATACTGTTGAATAGCTTGGCAACATGTGGTTTAATTGAGCACGTGACTAATTGACTGACATACAAGACCAACTTAGAGCCTAGTGTTAACAGTAGCATATCGGTCTATGTTTTGGATAATTTGATTCCATTTGAATTTGAACATTTTCCATCGTGCTTCTAAACAGGGAACGCTTTAACTATTATATTTGCACAGTTTTCTCTTTTGTTTAAAAAAAACATGAATAGTGTAAATCAGTTGTTCAAAAGCCTTTTCTAAATAGTTACTTACTACCTGTTACCCTTCATGAAGTGTAGGCCTCTGACCAGGATTCTCCAACCAACTCTGTCCTAGTTTTCTAAACGGTACATTAAGTTAACTTGATATGGGTGTCCGTGAATATATATCCCATATGTTTTTCAGTGTTAAATGTATGTGTAATATCAGACATTTTAAGACATTTTCCCACTCATTTAACGGGTGAGGGCTAGATGGATATAAAAGCACTACAGTGGCGTGTTCATAGAAAATATATGCATGTAGCTTCAGATGACTGAAATGAAATCCGTTGTGAAATTATGCTCTTATATCCAGAACTCACCCATTAAATGAACGTGAAAAATCCTAGACTATACATTTACTGAACATTGAAACAAGTATGGATAACCTCACACCTTAAATTCACTAGCTTTTTTTATCATTTTGTTTGTTATATTTTGAAACAAATGGAATAATACATATCTTGTTTTGGTTTTCGTTTCAGATTGTAAATTTAATCGATGTAGTCAAATCGGAAAGTTATTTGAATTTCGAAGAAATGTATCCTTTCATAATAATCATTATATATCATGGTAATGTTGTGATTATTCTTCTTACTGTTAGGACCAGTAATAAACTCAGCTTTATTTTCGCCACTTGCATATTCTTCTGAGTTGGATAATTTTAAGAATTAAGTAGTCACCAATCTAATGTTGTCTATCATGACAACAATGAAAGTCTTGAAGTTACATCCATCATCCCAAGTATGAGAATACTACTAGTACTATACCACAATAATGAAATCTACAGATTTTCTGCATCACTTCAAAATCGTCTCCTGTTTCGACCATCACTGACTAATAAATTTAATCATAATTCATTTCATGCTTTGTATTTTCTTTCCTATTTATTATTTAGCCTATTAAATGTTTAGATTTATCAAGTTGTATTGTATCGCTCTAAGTCTTGTGTATAATGAATTATTATGCTACATAATATGTATAATTTGAAGGAGCCCTTCCTTCATAATAACTAGCGCTTTATGGTTAATTCTACGTAGAAAACAGGGTTAATGTTCTTTGTCTTAGTTATTTTTGCCTTATTCTGAATTTCTATATACACATCAACTGTACAAACAATATTTCGTATATAGATGAGACTTGCTTATTTATTCAAGTTTTTATTTTCTAATTTTAGTACTATGACTCATCCATTATATTCTGACAATCTATTCATCATCTTCACATGTCCTAAGGTCACGTCCTCTAAACCTCCATATAAATGAATATATCCATGCACATATGTATGAGTGTTCTCCCTCCTCCCCATAAATTTGGTTTAAGGTCAACTGATTCTGATGTTTGGCTGCTTTTTCATCTGTGCCTTGAAAAAAAAAGATGGTATGAAAATAGTGGTCTGATAAGCATCATGCTTTGTTCACAGTTTTCTCTTCTACTATTGGTTATTGTCGCCTAAGGAAGCTGTGATTACCTACTCATAATAATAATAATAATAATAATAATAATAATAATAATAATAATAATAATAATAATAATAATAATAATAAATACTATTATTATTATTGTTATCATGAATTGTTTTTAAATGTTGAGCAAGATTTCTTTGTTCAACGCTTAGTATTTACTGTTATTACAATTATTTCTTTTCAATCATGTAGATAAATCCATAGTACTATACTAATACACCATCTATTAAAAACTGTATCTTACATAAATCACAACCTATCTGAAAACTATTCAACTGTAAATACTAAAACTATAAATCGATTCAATTCGTTTAATTGTGATCATAGTAGCTAATTTGATCAAAGTTCATGGGTTACGTAATAGTTTATTGTATTGAACTAATTAAATTACAATGAAACATTAAATAGTTATAATTTATTAAATATTTCGTATAGATTTTGAACTAACAAAGGTCATAGTGATGTTCTAGTTATTATCGATTTACTAAAAGTTTTATTAATGCTTGTTATAATGTATCGATCACATCATATGATGACCATATTTTGATTGTTTAAATAAATATATATAATACATATTTATATCGGTAAACACAAAGTGATAATTATTACTACATAATGAAAGTATTAATATTGATGTAGATAACTGTTTTTTAGATGTTAGAAATAAGATTTGATAATATGTGTATTGTGTGAGAAAATAGTCTCTTTATGTGAATACATCTGTTAAATTGTAAATAGGAAAATATCATCTTAGCTCACACGTAAATAATAAGGAATTCATCGGTTTATTTTTATTTGTTTCAGAGAATAATATATAAAAGATTTTTGTAAGCAATAATGGATAGTGGCTAGCAGTGGAATCCAGGACGAGCGTTTCGGCCTATTTGGGACTCGTCAGCTGGATGTACCTGCATCTCAGAGTTGATAACAGACTGATCAATTTCAGTCTTAAACCTCAATGGGAAGATACAAGCCAAACAATACCAAGTGAATTGAAATTCACCCCATTGCACAAGCAAGTGGCTAACAGAACTCAGTAGCTAAGTGGATAACGATGGCGTTTGAAGCGAATGGTACTGAGTTCGAGTTCCAGAGTGAACATCAACTCTCTGAGATGCAGGTACATCCAACAGACGAGTCCCAAATAGGATTCCACTACTAGCCACTATCCATCATTGCTTACAAAAAGCTTGTGAATTAAGGCAATATCGAGGCATACACATAGTATGCACATATGCCAATAACAGATGGATCAATCGCAGTCTTAAACCTCAATGGGAAGATACAAGCCAAATAATACCAAGTAAATATAAAAGATTTTGCTTTTATGTTCATCGATTTTCTCTATTCCATAAATTATAAAAAAATATGTTTGTTTTCTTCTTAACTAAATTAAATCGATACACTAATTTTCCAATTATCCAATATAGTAGTTAATTGAGCAGTTATGGTCAATTATTCATAGCTTTAAAATTTTTTACTGTTATTGATTTGTTACAATTGACGCAATCGTGTTTAAACTTGACAATGATGTACATCTTGAATTTTTAGCGGTAATGTTTATATTGCCAGTTAATTTATTTTCTTTTATTCATGATAAAATTATACTTTAGTAAGAGAATAATTATTCTTTGTTATTCATAATACTTCATAAGGGTATTTAGGTTTCAGTGTATACTTTTCTAAACATCCTGTGTATAGTAATTACCTTAACTAAATTATTGTTGATTATAGTTACTTTTTGTTCGAATTAATGCAAACGGATCTGCACAAAATTATTGTCTCACCACAGCCATTATCTTTAGACCATGTGAAAATATTTGTTTATCAAATATTACGAGGTAAGTTGATTATTATTATTATTATCACCATTAGTATTGATTTATATGTGTTGTTATCTTGCCAATATCGAAGAATAATGTATTACTTCTCACTGAGAAAGGAGAACTGAATAAATAAATGCAACAGGAAATCATATGCGATCGTTTCACCTCAACCAAGTATTACACAGTTAATATTTAAAAGTCTATCATGATCAATTGGTCATCGTCGTGTATAAAAAAATGATTACTTTCCTGAATAGCTCATCACTTATTATAGCACGTACTTATTACTAATTTGATAGTGATGGTCTGTTAACAACTAATGAATGTTTTAAATCACGTCGAAAATATTGTGATTTTCATTTGAATTTCTTCTATAACTAATTCTTTCGTGTTTTTACTCAATAATAAATAACCAAAATTGTTTGGTTAAAAGTGATGATAACAAGGCATAAACTGGATCATTGGAAGATGTGGATAGGTGGAAGGACTAGAATGAAAAAAATTCCTGATACTAATGTTTTTTAACATGTTAAGGTAATGATAAATAATGAAGGTGGAGCGGTGGCTTAATGTTTAAGGTGTTCGACTTTCATCCATTAAGTCCCAGCTTCAAATTCTGTTCAACTTACATCGGCTTCGACAATTGAACAATATCATTGGCACTCACATGTGGAGTGTCCAAATCCAAGTACCTTTTGAATGATTTAATTAAGACAATGAGCATTTGTATACAACTTAGTCTTTACTCTATAAGGAAACCTGATTTTTGCATCCCTTGATCTTCTAGTCTGTTTATTGGGTTAATACTCGAAATGTGAATGAATGTGTGATAATAATCTAGTTAAACTGGGTTAATTTTATAATTGGTGACTAAACATAATAACATAAATAATTTAGTGAAGTAATTTCACGACATAGAGAACCTAACTAGATCTCAATTCTTTATGGCTAACGTTTGTTAAAATCTATTAAACTGAATTCAAATACGTAGCAGATTCGGTAAGGTTGTTGGTCTAAATATTAGTTTTTGCCATCTGAGTACTTCTCATCAATTTTTCGTTATCATGTAGTTTATTTAATAGAAAATGTAATTCAAAACTCATTTATTTTGTGTATGATATATAGCATCAAGTAACTAGAATTTTCCACATGGAGGACATATTAGATCCCCTGTCATTTATTTATAGAATTACTGTAGTCTACGTGTTTATCTCATTACTTATTCATATTTTATCTAAATGGGTATCAGATGATGTCTTATGATCAGTACTCCTACGTATGATTTTTGTTAATCATTCTGCATAAATATAACTCAAATGTTTGTCATTCTCTAGAATGACTAATGATCTATACTCTTTATGAAAAAGGGCGTGATTTGTAGTCTGGTGCATGAAACTACATTATATATATAATTCATAAGCTGAACCGTAAACACTAAAATACTGATAGAATGTCAGAATACTCATGCTGCTAAAACAACGGTTTTGAATTTATTGTCTATTCTAACCTAAATGTTGATTTAATTGTTAACAATTAACACTTTTTAACCTATAAACTGTACTTAGTTCATCTTAAAAGTGGAATGTATTGTTTAATTCAGTCCTAAGAAGAATAAATATTATTCAAGTGATATTTGTTATAATTTAATTGAAATAACTAACTACTTCACCAACGTTTTATAAAAGGATATTTCTATCTTGATTAACCTCTATTTTAGTTGTTTTTCCTGTGTTTCTCTTTTGAAAATATGATCATTTTGCTTTTTTTTTACTTACCTTTCCCATTATTATATACGGGATACATAGGTTTAAAATATCTTCATTCAGCTCGGATTATACATCGTGATATTAAACCAGGGAATATGTTGGTTAATTCGAACTGTCTGCTAAAAGTAAGCAGATAACAATTTTTCTTGTTTACTATCAGTACAATCCATAAATTTCGTTAGATATTAGTGAATACATAATGACTGGAATATACTTTTTTTGCTCATTGTTATGGAGAATCGGTTTAATGGTTAATACATGCAAATTTCAAGGACTGAATTAAATGGTTGGAAACCAGTTGAATAATATCACATACTCTTATAAGTGTAAATCAAAGTGGAGCACAAGAAACGGTACTTCATTTTGGAACTTTATTATTTAGTTTTGTGATGCTCTTATTACAGTTAAGGTTTGTCCTGTTATCATGACTTAAATTATCTATTCATTATGTTACTTGAGATTCAACTATATTAATCAATTATAAAGTTAGGTAATAGAATATTTGTTTATAGTAGTCTGAATAAAGTCTGAAATGATTTTGACTTATCGTTAGACTGTAATTATTCTATTCCACTAACTATGCGAACTTGGTCTACGTTTAGTGTGTGTGTGTGTAACATCCTCATCAAGTAATATCGACTGTCAGTAAAGATATCTTAATTAGTGATAGAATTAATCTTTCAACTGCTGTGACGTTATTTGTAAAGGTTTATTTTTCAGTGTTGTTGATGTTAAGGATTGAAATTGGTCAGTTCCTGTTGGTATACGTGCATTCTGAGCGGATCGCCTCGATGTTTCCTTTTAATTACAAGTTCTTAGTACATTTGTTTTGTAGGTAGCAGTGAAATCCTAGGTGTGCATGTCTTCCTACTAGAGGTTTGCTATCTGGTTCAGCAGCTTATTGAATAACGCGTTGGCATTTGAAATGATAGGTTCTAGTTTCAAGATCAAGATCATTACCGGTACATAAATCCATCAAGCTGATTAGTCCTAAATAAGATGAGAAGCACTCACAAGATATTCCAATATTAATCTCAATCAAAATATACTCCAAACTGTGGCATTGGTTCTGCAGCTTCCATTATTCAGTCCTCGTATTCGTAGTTTTAACTAACTTAAGTATAATATATAGTTTACTTATGATATATATATCTGAAACCCAGATAATGTAGAGAAATGAATTCCTGAAGTTTTATTATCTCATTTTTGTGATTCCTTTGAAGAATGAATAACCTTGTTCAAGCTGACAATGGATGAAATAGGAAAAGAGGTGAATAAAATCACGAAGAGTGATGAATATATATTTAAACATGCACAAAATCCCCATTGCTGTGCTATTTTCATTTAGGATATAAATGATAGCCCATCATTAACTGTGTTAATACTTGTGAATAATTACTAAATTTGAGATCTAAAGTATTGATGAATCATTTTACATGTCACATACATTTGTATCATAAACCTTATGAGCATGAAAAATGAGATAATCCGGACCTATGGTTCTATTACAGTGAAATACTATACTGCGAATATATTTACTGTTAACATTAACGGTCATTGAAGATAACATCTACATATATTAATTAGTTGGATTAGCGAATGTTCTTGCTCTATAAGGCTTCAGTAAGGTCTTCCTTTATGGATTTTAATTCTACATAAAAATATTTACAATATAGGCTGAATTATATTCTCGACAACTCACTATGTAGACACAGTTCTGAGTTAACAGTAATTTGTTTTGATAAAAATTAAATCATCATTTCACCACTCTTTAAGAATGAAATAATTGTCAGTTTACAAATTTCTTCTAATCAAATAGTTAGAAATCGGTAATTTTACAATAATCATTCAAACCTTGAAGTATCAATTCACTACTCAAATGTTCTGTCACTCGTCTACTACGTAGCACCAGGCACACATACATCGGTCCACGTTACCATACCTCATTAGCACTACACAATGAACACCAGATTCATAGGAGCAGTTACCTCAATGGTAGTATTATATAAAAGAAAGATTGCATATAAAGATATAATGCAGGAAGAAAAAATCGATTAGAAGAAAGAGTGTATACACCTACGCGATTGTGATCGATTCTGAGCCATGTCATCCAGAATCTATAACCGCTGGTTACGATAGTCGCGCGGACTCCAAACAAGTAGTCTCAAATAGAATATATCCTGACATGTTACTGAAGATGTTTTCAAAATGACCCATTCATTTTTCGAAATAACAAAAATGTATTATTCAAATACATTATCTGGTAACACTGAGGAAGTTTAAATGTTTATATTCAAAAGTTATCAACGTTTGTTGTTTTATTCACTATTTCTTTGTTAATAAATGTGTGAATCTTTCAAATTTGATTAAAAATCTGAACTAATTTAATAGTTAATTTAACAGTTTAATAAATAACTGTTTGATTAATCATTATTTTAGTCAGGCGCCTTTCTTTTCCTTTATAAGATTTAATCATATTTTTTAATTCTATATAGATATGTGACTTTGGTTTGGCACGAATTGATGATCCATTTGGAGAGGCTGTTCTTACACAAGAGGTTGTTACACAATATTATCGATCACCGGAACTACTTATGGAAGCAACGCGTTATTCATATGCTGTAGATATTTGGAGTGTTGGATGTACTTTTGCTGAATTATTAGGTCGACGTATTCTATTCCCAGTAAGTAAAATAAATTTGGTTTTATCTAGTTGACATAACTCATTTACTAAGTTGAAATTTGTGTACTCGGTTTTTATGAACACCATACTTCGATTAATTAATGGGGATATTAATACTACTAATCGACAATTCGAACTGTAATAAATGGACCAGGGATCAAACTCATTATTTGAAAGTGGGATTTTCTTAACCACTAAGCTACCATTTTATTCTCTAATGACAATTATTTTCCTTTTCTTTCCAAAATCTGATCATTATTTTCTCATGAACTGTTATGTAGATGTCATTGTGAAATTTCGTTTTATTAATTAAAAATGACGTAATAAAATGAAAGATATAGAATTTTAAAGTTTTATCATACACTTTATTCCTTTACTGCTTTAAGTATATATATAAGTATATATTCTATGGTTTGATAAACGAAATGCATGATGTGTGAAAGCAAAAGATACGTCTAGGCTGCAAGATTTTGGTCACAGGCATCGTCTAACCATAACTCATGCTTCGTGGAGCAACCAAGTAACCAATGTTGAGGTTAGGATGTATAACCTTTAATTTTTGTAGGGAGAAAAATATACTTTTAGACCACTGAATCAGAATCTGTTAGTTCACATCCCATCTTTAACCATCACTAAACCTGAGGTGAAACCAGTGGCCAATGTTTCTCTGGTTAATGTCAATACTCATTGGATGTTCACTTCAATTTAAACAATTTTTCCATAAAGCTTACCATGAATATCTCTAATTTAAACTGTGTGTAATATATGCATTCCTTTCTAATGTTTATCTAAAAATGTACACCACTTTCTGCGTGTCCATACTAACGAATTATTCATTGAAGTAAAATCCCAGTGAGTTTTACTCCTGTATTTACATTTCTTATAGTTTTTTATGAAGTTATGCGCTCTGTTTCCTATTCTCCCTTATTATATATATATATACTTTTGTGTCCGAAGCGATGATGGGAATTACTATTTTTCTTCCTTTCCTTCAACTGATTTATTGATCGAATAACCTTAGTCATCGTTATCATCATCATTCTGTTACTATTATTATTGTTGTGTTGTTTGTGATGTCAAAAATCTAGCTTATTCTATCAGGCCTTAAAATGATCACTTTTTTCAAGTTCATCTGTTTGTTTGTTTATTTATTTATTTCTCTTCTATCCTTGTACATATATATAAGTATATGAAAAAATGTATTTCAATACAATATACATACATACATGCGCATATTAATCTGTAAAAGAAGAGAAAACACTACTTTTAAACTTTTGCTAGTAGTACCCTCGAAGTATTTAAACCTATGAGACTAATGTCAGGAAGGGTGGTGTTTCTAAACCCTTTTTTTGTAGAACTGAAAAGTGATGAACATCTGTCCGAAGTTCATCGATAAAAAAGTACATACTTAGTTCACTACAAAAGCAAATCAACTCTCATAAATTGTACAATAAATGAATGGACTGGTTGTCTTATGTATGTACATCGGCTTTTCTAGACTGATTAGATGATGAAATATCATGAAAAACTTAAAAGATTCAGTCGCAGTTTCATTACTCAACCACACTTTATTATTAGTATAGTTTCATGTAGATTGGAAGACTTTCACAGTTTACATCACAAACTGATCTTCAAAAACCCAATACTGATAATAATCATGAGCTCATTAGTGACTAGCTTCATAATGTGATTCTTGGAATTCTAGTTAGAAACCGTGACCAGTGAAGTTCAGCTGTATAATGTATGTGACAGTTATCCATCACAGGCAGTAGAAGATCGTCGTGCAATATCGTGAATCGACTGAAGTTAAACATGTACATTATTAAATAACCGATTCAGTGACCAAAAGGTTATGCGTTCGTGGGCGAAATAGAAGGTTCTAAGTCTGGTTCCCTGTGGAAGGGTCCATACTGCTGAGGAGTCTCACAGTAGGACAAAAAGGCTCCGGTACTTCTTGGTTTTCAGTAGTGATCTAGCTAAGGTCAATTCGTGATGCAATCTCTGGTGCATGTAATGTGTTTTTGTCTATCAATGGTTGAATTTAAAGTCCTGCTATTGCTTTGCATCTATAAATTTATAGTTATGGTATTCAGGTATTACATTTATTTGTCAATTATTGCGTTTGAATATCTGACATTTCACTTAATACTTGTAATATTGTCGAATCAGCCTAGACTAGAAGTTAGTCACTCTCATTTGAATATTTTATGAACATACTATGCAACGAATTACCAGTTATTCATTCACTAAAGTATTTCATCGATTGGTTTTGTTGTCATTAAAAGAATTAATATGAATTTATGGGTATTTGATAATTGATTTCTACCTTGTATGTGTGTTTGGGTATGGCGATACGAAATAATAATCTTCCCTTTACCAAACTGGTAACTACTGCCGAAAACCATTAGTTGAATAATTCATAAGCTTTTGAATGGAATGATAAATGTGTTTGTATATCATGTACTCGAAACTACAAGACACAAAAACATGTGAAGTAAACTAGATATTACCTGCTTCAGTTTGGGCACCCGGGCAGTATTCCAGCCCTAACACAAATGTCAAAGTGTGGTGCATATGTATTTGGTGCCTCCTTGTACCAATGTTTATATGTTTAAATAAATAAACTAGATATTTAGGTCAAATAATTTTATCACACGATACTTACACCAATATACAGTGTTAATCCGTATTTTCCAGTGACATATTAACCTTAAAGTGTTTAGAAAAATACTTATTTGGTTTTCATTCACTTCACACATTAGGTCTTTATGTTTGTTTTATTTAATCGATTTCTGATTGTTACAGTTTTTTGTGCAAATACGGAAACTTAAATCATTATTACATAATATAATAAAAGTATAATATAGAAGTGAGCTTGAGAATTCTTGAAATAACTGATTGATTTGAAGCCACTTTTTAGCCAATGAGTTTAGTCTCTATAAATAAAAAATATTTCATAGTGGCAATGATGAAACCTGTTATAGTTTAGTAATCTTGTAACGTATATTAGTTTTACAATAGCAATGCCTCAGATTCATTCACATTTTATTTTCCTCTCGGTCTTGAATTCCAGGATTCCTTTATATATCACCTTAGTTTATCTTGTTAAGACCGTATTTTCGATGTTTAGTCGTAATTTCACTGGTTTTACGTGGGGACCCAAGCGAAATAAGTGGTTTTCTTGGAAGACCACTTCAAGAGGCTATATTCTCATCCAGTTCCATGGTGGTTGGTGACGGGCACACGTTCATACGCCGTTAGGTCCCTCAGAACTCTGAAGCCTATCTACACCATAGCCTGGTTTCCTAACTCTCATAGGTAGTCCCCCTGTATCCACCAACGCATTCTAAGCACCGAACGTCTTTTTTAGTCATCTTATTCCCGTTTGAACACCACCACCACGTGAAGGTAGTGAGTAGAACTTCCTTGATAGAGACTACAGGTTAATTTAAGATGAAGGATTTGAGACATATTATTTCGTCTTAGTAGAACTCGTGTAAGTAGCCAACACGCAGGTTTTATTTATATCTTTAGGTTCTTTTTCATCAAAATTAATTATTCCCGCCTAATTTGTCTCAATTTATTCCTTTTTTTCTAGGCTCGAAGTCCTTTAGAACAATTAGAATTGATTATTAATCTTACTGGAAGTCCTAGTCCTGGAGATTTAGAAAGTTGTCATCCAGATGCATGTTGTTTTGTACTTTCATCAAGGTTACGTGATCCCAATCTTTCTATTCTTTATGCTCTTACACCTGATGTGAATGAATTAACTGTTCATCTATTGGGTAGTATGCTCAAATTCAATCCGGTTAGTTGAATAATATTAATATGGAAATTTTCTACTATATTTTAATTTTTTTATTGATTAACAAACCAAACATGTATGGTAAGTTCAGTATCGATATCCATGTTTCGATTGTTTGAAATGAAAATTTACTAGGTTCACGCATAATCATTTAGTTTTTCAGTGGACCGTCTTATGAAAACGATAAACATGTAACTGTTCCAGGTTTTAGTTTAGTGAGCTTCGTCTGCCTCTAGTTCTTTTGCAGCAAATCCATTTGAAACAATAATATTAATGGTACTTACTTTAAGTTCAATTAAACAAATGACGAATGCTATCTCTCGTATTAGGATAATGTTAAAAATTATGGATTTCGGTTGTTAACTATTCACCTGGAAATCTAAATCATCACTCCTAACTTCCGAATTTATCTAAACTAGTAGACTTTATCTCAGGTGGATTGGTGAGCTTTCATTTTCAATGCAAATAAGCTTTCTTACTGGAATATTGCATACGTACATACATTTCAGAAATGTAATATGCACACACACACAAGTACTCATATGAATAGATTTTAAGCTAAAATCCATGTCAGTATAAGCACAACTGTATGCTGTTTCAAAACATTAGGAGCCATCAAATGTTAGTACCTGATTGGCGAATCATAAAAACCCAGCTATAATATCTATACAAAAGTGTCAATGGAAAATCTAATCTACACATAGACCAATAAACGTTCAATATAGGCTAACAATCGTAACGCAGAAATCACCGGTACCTTTCCTAGTCTCTTTAAAATACAGACCCAGAAAAATTTATCAAATACCATTGTTTCGAGAGTTGTTTTTTCTTCTTTAAGGAAAATTGCCAGCATCAAGATATTAAACAGTATTTAATATTATTTATTTGAACGTGGAAGTAAATAAACATTCGTATCGATACCGGTTAGTAGGATTGTTTTTTCTCCGTCTGATCCATCGATCGACTAAGCGCGAATGACGCATTTTTAGACATGTCCATTTTTGTTAGTAGATAGGTCTGTCTATGTTTAGGTGTGTTTATGCAACTAAATACTGACTACAATTATCATCATTCACATTCACATCACTCTTCCAATCCACTTGAATGAGTAGTTACAATATTTTGTTGTTTCACTCGCCTACACACACACACACATTCTCTCATCATCCCTCAAGGTTTGGAGATTGAGTATGCATCCTTATTTTTTATTTATTCGGTCTGAATCGCATGAGTATGTTATTGTTATTGTCGTATTATTAATATTATTTGTTATGTATACACAGGATAAACATGTTCACATTTTAGACTAAACAATTATTGTTACTGATTGACTAGATCTTAACGACACACTACTACTGTATAACCTCATGTTATTTTTTTTATTGAAACCTTTCCAGCTTAATAGAGTGTAGTTTAGTTCTACTCAAGCATATGGCGACAATGATCGACATATTTGCGTGTAGTCAATTTGTAATCCTAAATCATATATAATTGCACATATGGTTAACTATTTCACAGATACACTTTCAAAAGTCATACTAACGAGTTACTAGTTATTTTTGCCAGGGACCTGCTTAAAATAACCGCGACGAATTTTCAGCCAGTTCTTAACTAATCAGAAACAGGTTTTGTAAATCGGATAGATTACGGAAAACGAGACAATAGTATTACCGTGTAAACAGACTTTGCATCTTTAGTATACCCGCTAAAGTCTTCTACAAGCTAACCTACTTGTAAATTGAAAAAGTTTAGATTATTCGTCTTCCCGAATCCTCATAAAGATCCAAACAGATTTTTGTAAATGTCCTCCTAGTTGTTCTTAGTTAGGGTTAGATATTTATGGTAAGGATTAAAGGTTTAGGGTTATGGATTTTACCACAGATGGATTTAACGCCAAAAAGCAAGAGGGGTTGTCTGTTTAATTTGTCCATATAATATAGTGTTAACGGTGTTTGTTTCAGGATTAAAGTTTACGATTAGTGTTGATTTGTCTTTTACAATAGTATGTAGCGAGAGAATTGAATATTTATCTCGTTTGCCATCATCATATTTAGTTTTAATAGGCAAAAACGTATTTCTACTTCTTGTCGTTAAACATGAAATTTGGATTTCACTTAAACGCCTAGAAGCCGGGTTTCTTAGCTCTGATTGACAGGTCCCTATACTATACTATACTTTTACCGTTATTTTATTTTGTAAACATTCCCATCATTCAAATATACCAACATATTTTATTCATTCTGCGCCTAGTCTATTTCCATCGAAAAAAAATCTTACGTATTCAATAGACGGATAGAATTTTGCTAAAAGTATCTGGGGTCATAATATAAAGCTGGTTAGTGCTTAATTTCTTGTTTTTTGTGTGTATTACATTAGCTCATTCACCAGACACTTGAGTACGAGCCACTTTCTAAGTTCTAGGGCTAATTATACCACTGCCTAGTCACTCAGACCAAAGTAGGTAGAGCTGGGTTCGATCCTGAAACTTCGTGGTTGAAAGTCGAACGCATCAACCACTAGGCAATCACTTCACTAAATTGTGTTGTTTTTCAATGCATTTTTCTTCTGTTTGTGTGTGGACAGCTTCTGCATCGGTTATACTTATTTTCATGACCTTCATTTCTCTGTCGTGTATTGAGAGAAATTTTATGATAAAGATGTTTTTCTTACAACTATCGATATTGTCTATTATTTCTACCATTTTGATAACTGATTAATTGAATAAAATGTTTCGTAAATATTATCTCAAAACGCTTCTCACATGAACTATTTTCCTCATGATAACCTCATACAATTCTATCACTTTTTTGTTAAACGACATTGAATGTTGTTTTGTCTGAAACGAAGTCGATTTATCATTCAATTATTTTGTTAATAAAGTCAAATGATAATTTTTAATATCAACATATCGTAAATTACAAGTTATTGTTTTTTCCATTGTAGTAAGTAAATTTTCCAATCTTAAAATACAAAGACAAACAATTTAATTCATTTTAAAAATATGCTAGTTTTTTCTACACAAAAATATGTATTACTTAAACATAGTGCAAACTTTAACAAAATTATGAGCTTGTGGAGATAGTTGAGTTTCATTGGAATTAGGAACCGATCTAAGAGAGATTTTTGGTCTCGCATTTGAACACCTAACCCTTAAACCAATGAGTTGAGATCCAATTCTTTATATATATATATATATTTTTCACTTTAGCGTCAGCGCATTTCTGCTACCGATGCATTAAATCATCCATTTCTGGAAGAAGCACGTCTACGTTATCATTCATGTATGTGTTCTTGTTGTCATGATGTCACATTGAACTCTGTCAATGATGATAATGTTCAAACAACAGCTGGATTTTGTTGTGCTCCATCATCATCAGCCTCATCATCATGTGCTTCATCATCGACTCCGTCGTCTGATTCAATACAAAGTATTAATGGAAAATGTTTGCATAGATATGAAGCGAAAACTGCTGCTAATGCTATGCCATCAGGTAGTGGGAATTCAACATTTTCTTCTAATGCTACTACTACCAGTGGTCCTACACCTAGAAGACGTTATTTTCATGATCTTGATCCAATTTGTTCAATTCTACTTCCACTTGATTTAGATTCAGGATTTCGTCGTCTCTCCGATGCTAAACGTAAGTTTATTTGTGGAAAGTCAAAATGAACAGATTTATCTAAAAAAACAAATGTCACTTTTCAGTGATCATTTTTTAAATCATTTAAGGAGGATAGCTGTAACAATTTGTTTTGTCCTATTCCGTTAGTGTCTCAACCAGCACATACTACTTCATGCATGAGATTAAATCTATCAAATGTAGATTGTGCAACGAAGACGTGATATTCAGAAAAATTAATGTGTATCCAGTAATTATATTTCTAGCTTTTTTAAGCAATTATCAAATTATTGTCAAAAAAGTTTGTTTGTACTAGTCAACCGATATAATTTTAAGATTTGAAATTCAAAAGTGCCTATGCCGTAGTTCGAAGATCTTACCAACAAGTATCGTTTTAATTAGCACTCTTCGTTAAATGAAATTTCTTGCATATGGATCTAGGCCTCAGCTGAGGAAGGCAGAGGACTCTAGGTGTCAAAATTTTAAATACTACTATAGGAAGATTTGTGGAGATTGTAGAATTTTCATCGTTCAACTCACGAGCTGATCTTAGACCACTACTAAAAACGTGGAAGCACTGGACGGCTGTTTCGACCTAATATAGCCAATGGTCTAGAGGTTAAGCGTTTGTACGCGAGGTTGTAGGTCTTGTGTTCGAGTCCCAGGCTCATGGCTGTGGATGAGCAATTTGAGAAGCTTTATACAAAGATAGAAAAACCCTCCAGATATTTAATGGTGGTCTTGCTAAGATCATTTTTCTGCTTTTTCAAATAATCGGGCCTTTAGGTATTTGAATTCACGATTCACCTTTATATATATTATATATATTTAGTCGATTACATGTTTGTTTATGAATAATTATCATCGTCTTTTTATTCGTATGAATTGCTTTTTGCAAATTACGGAAACAGGTGTTTTATGGGATGGTATACAAGAATATTATCGTCGAGATGATCGGTTAACAAGGGTTGTGCTCAATCGAAATGCTGCTAATTACAACAGTTTTATTAAGTAAGTATTTATCATTTCAACTATTTACAGTGTGTTTTGATATTGAAGTTTCGTGTTCTAGACGAAACTTTATTCCGCAATGAAATAATTCTTAACTTATAAACATTTCTCTTACAATACAGCTTAGCGATAATGAAACGAATAATATGTCCCAGGAATAACTAGAGGAGCGTTTGTCAGTCATCAAAGTGATGTTCAACCTGATTTAAGTTGTAATATCGAAACACTTGTAAAAGTGGCGGTGATATTTACCATTGATTTGAATCAAAAATTTATTTATTTATTTAAATACATAAACATTGGTACAAGGAAGCGCCAAATAGATATGTGCCATATAAATCATTTGATTTATGTTGAGGGCTGGGATACTGCCTGGGTGCCCAAACCGAAGCAGGTTAACAATATTTAATGGATTTCGGTAGCATCTATTAAATTGATGGATATCCAGAAACTCATCCCGTCAGGTGCAGAACATGATGAGGATGAAAAACAACAAGATAGAATGATTAGTGGCCACATTGCAACTTGGTCTATAGGATTCGATCTGCAGTAAGAAGGACCTGAAATACATGACATTAATCATCACACAGTGATCAGTCAATTGTAAATAAATCTCAGTCCTACGAGAGGTCAGTCGCGGCCTGGATAGGCAATTGGTAACGTCTCTGACTGTGAAGCTGGGTGACGCGTGATCGAATCCGTCAGGGAGCACCAATCCCCTTAAGATTACAGGTACACTTTGCTGATGAATGCCTAGTAGCACGAAACTTAGGTCCAGGGTTTCCTGTTGACTACCTCCAATCACCATCGTAAATAGGTATCAAGAATTTTGGAGTTAGTGAAAATATTTCTGATAAAGATAGGACAATAATTCACTCTTAGCTAAGATGATTGAAAACTTTGAAGATTATTCGAACTAATCTGCAGCTAATCCACTCGCGTTACACATTCTACTACCGCTAATGCTGTTACCACTTATACCACTCTGACATCTCACTGTACTGTGGTGTGGACATTGCAGTCCCAGGTCTCACGCTGCGTTTGGCTGACTCACTGATGTTTCTATAACGCGAAATCGAAAGTAGTCCAATTCTCCGGTTTACAGTGATAATTTAATTCATCATTATGCTTAAACCACCGTGATTGTTGTGATGGTTTTTTCCTTTCACGATGTTCGCTATGTAATAAATTGTTACCAATTTGTGAAATTAATCACCTGTTTCTTGGACGTTGTATTTTTGTCTGTTTTATTTGTTTCTCTTCTCTTCTTAAAAAAAGTGCTTACATTTAACTTAGTGCTTGTGTAACGCTTTTTTCACTCACTTTTTGAAAGACGACGAGACGTTGTTTTGCATATTCTGTGTGAAAAAAATATATACCTTGTTAGACTAGACATATTATCTTACTACTAAAAAAAGACAGACTTTCTTTAACGACATATGTGTATGAATTACAACTATCTTTGTCTGATATATGTGTGTATGTATGAGTGAGAGGACATTAGATACGAATTCTGATCAACAGTTGAATTCACTGTCATTACATTGTATGGTGTGGCTTAAAATTATTATTATTACTGCGGTTGTACATATACGTCTATGCCTGAGTACACAAATGGATATTGGTACATTTTTTTCTAATGTTTCAATCTTGAAAATGTGAGTTTACTAACTGAATCGATTTATAACCTGGTGGGTCAGTCAGTTCGATATATCACTTTTTGAGGACAATAAAAAACTTTTGATTATCAAAGTTTACTATATAGTAAACTTAATGCTGAATTGAACAAGGCCTGCATCTGAAGAAAGTTGAATGAAAATATATTCTAGGTATTGCTCAGGACACTGGATACTGGCTAGCAGTGGGATCCTCGAAGATGACTCACTTTTTATTCTTTTTGAGTCTGGTTAGCTGGATGTACTTTTATCTCATTGTTGTTATTCTTACTGGGACTTGAGACCAATTACCTTTTAAGTCCAACCGTAATATAAGTCATGAAAGGATTGTATACACTTTTCCGGATTAGCCATAAGTAGTAATGTAATGTTACTGATGATATTCTGTTTAATGTATTATTTTCATTAATTCAGTCGGGTAGTTATTCGGTTGCAAGTTGGAAGATTAGACAGTTGATTTACATTAGTTATGTTATTAACATCGATTTGTTCACTAATTTAATTTGCTCTAATTGTTTCACTTTATTTTGGAACGTGTAGAAAATATTTAACGCTTTTTAATGTTTATTCCCTCCTTCACAGTTCTTCAGTTGCACAAGCCAAAGAAATCCCTGCTAGTCATCGTTGGCATTAATCGTCAAAACTAGGCAATTACTCATAACGGTTTATCAATATACATGTATCAAGTCGAAATTTGTATGTAACCATTTTGCAAGGTATTTTAATAATAGATGCTGTGTGTTTTTCTGAAAACGTGATATTTTTCTCATCAAAAAATCACACTGTTTGGTAATTGTCTTCCAATACTCTATTATACTACAACAGAAAATCAATAATATACATAGAAGAATGGTGCTTTCCTCCCTATTGCCCATTGTCCCCCACCTTCATCTACTTCACATCAATTTTTGGCGAGAACATAGGACACAGTATGAATATGGGAAAACATTGTCAGAATACTCACCATTTTATTTACTGTCATTTTTATATACATCCATTTGATCGGATTTATAGTTGATGACCCTCTGCTTTACATCATCAATATTGTTGTAATTTCTTAATATGTCTTTTTATTACTTACAAAAACAAACACTTGTTGTCATTGTCTTATTTTTATTGCTTTTATGCCTCCATTTTAATAATTGTCTGAAAGTTTTTGTGCAATTTCTTTTCGCTTGAATTTTCTTAGGTTTAATTTATTTCCGTATATGTATGAGTATTATTTTTATGTGTTCTTTAATATTGTTTTTCAAACAAAACATTAACTATTGTTAGTTGTCTGTGCTGTGTTAGTTTGTGCTTTCGTTTATCTCGTTCACCCATCGACCCCACCTAACACGTTATGTTATTATCACCATGATCGCCATTTGTTCTTCGTTTTATTTTTTTTTTCTTTGCATCACAAACAATCAACAAAGTTATTTGATTTGATTTTTAATTAAAAAGAGAAAGTGTTACACGTACCGAAACACATAAACTCATGCACACACAAACTTGCATTCGCTTCTTACTAGTTTTATAATAATCATATAGGCTTTAGTTCATTATTCAATCATGCCAAAAGAGCTTTCTTTATTTTTTTTTCCTTTATTTGTTTCACTCTAATGTTGCAATACTGTGTGTCTGTGTATGACCCATTCTTGTATTTTTTTAGGTTAAACTAGTTTAATATTTATTGACTTTCTTTATCTCTCTCTATGTGTATGTATAGGACAATTTGACTCTAATCAAATCCAAGTACATACACAATACTTAGTTTCGTATTATTGAAGCAGGGAAATACTTTTGATTGCTTGTTTATGAAGTTGGAATTCCTGTTTCTTTCTCTCTTTCTGTGTATGTGGGTGCATCGTAGCTCAGGTCTGAACACAAAAATTTGCACGATTCAAAACTTTTCCACAAAGAAAAAATAACTACTAATTTCTTTTGTTATAACAAGTAATATTCACCTCATATGATGTTTTCATGTTCAGGATTATTCAATCAAATCAGTAAATGAGTACAAATATTCTAAACAGGTAGTTTTTTCTATAAAAAGCACAAATCCATTTTTTTCGATTATCTCTTCTTTTGCTTACATAACATAAATATATCATGTACAACCATTTATTTATTTATTCATAGTATGTGTCTAACACTCAATCGTATTTCATTCAAATTAATAATCTCTAGTACACAATATACCTATCTCATGTCGCATGCCCTTTATTTTTATTCAAAATTTTACGAATACATTTTTACAATAGGCGCCCAGTTAGTCAACTTCCATCTGGTCTTCATTTTGACTCTACCACTACTACTACTAATACGTATAATATTATCAACAATATAAATATTAACAACGACTGTTTGTGTACTGTACTGCACTACTTATCGTTATTTCAAACCTATATGTTGATGTTCTTTGATAATTACGACGATGCAATATTGTAACTATATTTCGTAATTAATGGTTTGATTGTTGCGTTATGATTATTTTCTTGGCTTTTCAATTTTTTAAAATTAATAATCATTTAACTAGGAACGTTGTCGTTAAAAACTGTGAAACTTTTTACACATTGGCAAACTGTTTGGTCTTTCGATATTTATATTTCTTTCTTTACGCGATCGGATCGACTTCAGTGATATGGTTATGTTTATTGTTATTACTACTAATACTACAATTGTTTTTATGGCTACTACTACTACTACTACTCATATACAATTAATAACGGAGTTTATTCAATACTAAGGGAAGAAGTAAATGTAAGGTAATTTCAGCTGTATCTCTCTCTCTTTCTGAATTAATCGTTGTGCAGGTTTTGCATTTTGTTTTCTATTTTTTTCGTTTGACTTTTTCTAAATAAAAGAACTAGGTGGTTTTTCATTTTTATCTATACGTATACCTCCAAGTTTCTTCATATGTACTTCCCGTGCACTGTGTGTGTGCCACTGTGTGTTTATGCGAATCTTCTTTGACCGAGTTCATTTCTTATTTACTTGTTTATTAATCTCTGGAATGTGTTGAAGGTCAACTAACCACGCATGTCTTCAATTTCACACCTTGCACTGCTACCTTGTACACACCACTCTTTTCTAGTAAAGTAGTATGGATTAATCAATCATCATTGTTATCATCATTACTATTATACATATGTGTGATTTATGACTAGTTTTTTGCTAGAAATGTTTTGATGTTATTTTTTTTCTTCCCCTTCTCCCACCTCTTCATTCTCTTTTCTTAATATAAACGATGTAGTTTACAGAGTATTTTCTACTTTATTTCTGTTTCGAACATGTGTTGGTGAAAAATGGAGAAATATTTCCTGTTATTGTTCTTCTTTTACTTCACACACACACATAGAGCCTTATGATGATTACCAGTATCAAAATATGTACAGTCGTATACATTACTTCTACTGCTATACTACCTATACACCAATCTAGTTAGGAGTAAACCACTGAATTTTTTTACAACTGATGTTTTTTGATAGTCATTCTTTTTTTAAAAAAATCTCGATGTTGATCATGTGTAACAGTGTTCTCTGTGTGTACGTGTGTATTTTACTCATAATTCTCATTGTTGTTTTTGTTGTTATTGCCTTTGTCATAAGCTTTTTCTTAAAGAATTTTTTCTGTGAAATTCCTTGTACAGTTATAATAATAATAATGGTGAAAGCCAAAAATGATTGCCACTACTGAAAATTTCGTTACGCGTTACATGATCTGATGTCTAAAAAATCAGAAAATTTGAACGGCAAATCTGGGATTAATTTTTCTCAGCGTACTTATAGGTGTTGCAAACATACTGTTTGTTTTTATATGCACAAACCACAGTCATTTCTGTGTCTGTCTACGCTTACATGTAATAATGATGGTTATCTAATCAAAGTATAAATAGCAATCATTAGGAAATTATCATGTATTCCGCTGCTTATCAATCAGTGTAATCATTACATGAAAAGTGATACTTCGAGTCGCTTAGTTATGATATAAATAACTGCGTCTTCGATTGTCTTCACATGATCAATCTGTAGTTTCCGAAGAAATGGTTGCACAATACTGAGTTATTTGTCCATCTTATCATTATTTGCAGGTTGATTCTGTGCCTGTAGGAAACACTAATAAATATCGAGAAATAAATCCCTGAGTTAATCACATAGTAGTACTCGATACGGGACCGTAATTTCTTACACTTAATCAGATGTAAGGTCTGTAGTGAACATTTCTATAGGATTAACTTATGCCTGATACTCGTGGAGTATAGGTCACTGACCAGAACTTTCTATGCTGGGCTCTTCTTTTCAGTTGTTGCTAACTGCTGTTCATTCTCTGTTGATAGTTACTCTGGCCGTCAGAAGGGGAGTAGGACTCATGATTTCGGCTTTCACTGTGAGGAATGAAGATCCTTCAACTCCAAGAGTAAAGTTCAAATTATTCTTCTGATTAGCATTTTCTTAGCAAGGTTGTTTTCTACGAGATAGGGTTGCCAACCTCATACCCAATTCTCCTCTATACAGGCCTACAACAGGCAATAATCCTAGAAAGCCTCCAGGCGGAGATTCTGTAGGATCAGGGATTATTGAGATTCTTGGTTTCTAACATGATAAATAGTGCAAAGGTTTCAACATGTTTTATGGCAGTCTGGCTCAAACACGATTAACTTTTTAATAATCCTTAGAATAATAGTTTATCAATCACTTGATTTCGGAACAGATCAAACTGTTTGAACTTCAATCAGAATATCTAGTAGGATAGTTCTTTCTTGGTCAGTACTTTACGGCTGTATTTCTTGTTGGGCGTTTCGAAAAAGTTAATCAGAGCCATAATTATCTGTTTGTTTCAAGTATAATGTAGAGATCACCTGACTTTTAAATATCTTTAGGACGTGAAATTAATAACTGCACTTAATAATGTAGTTATTTGTCTCTGAGCCTCCAGCTGATTAACCATGTTAAAGATGTACACTGTAAATTCGATTGTTGAACAGTATGTCTGTTGATTGTGTGTACTTTGTCAAGATTTATATTTGTCTAATATATTCAAACCAGTTACATCAAACATAGATGTATAGTGAAAATTCACATTTGGTGAAAAATGAAACGAAATGAGCGAAAAAATTAATTTCCAATTAGTTTTCTTTACGGCTCTACACTAATATATATGTGATTTACAACATTGAGTAGTCACGTAATAATTATATGACATAATAATTATAAAATAACATTGAACATTTGAAAGAAAGATTTTAATAGTTACTCGAAAATCAGTCAGTTGCTACGTTGTATAATATATAAAAAGAAGGAACTAATAAAATATGTTGATGAGAAATCAATATTATAATAGTTATGTAAAAACCAAGGGACGAATGTTAAGAATAGGTAAAATACGAAAGCGGAAGAAATTCGAAAATATTTTAAATATTTCTGAAGGCGTGGGTTTCATCGAAGTTTTGCTACAAACTTACTTCTATACTGATGGCAAAGTTAGCGAGATTGGTTGTACAAACTTCTTTTAGATTCAAAGGTTTAGTTTATGAACATGGATTCCAATGGCTTCAGCAATATCCATAATGTACATAATGGATAACCTTACTAGCTTTATTCAATTCTACTCGATGACCTGTGACAACCAAGTGAGCGAGAATAGAACACATAATCACTCTTATCTGTTCTGTGCTCAACCAAGCCGGATGGTGTTCTACCCTGAGATGACGTCGAATTGTACGCCCTATATAACTAGCTTCACAGAAGTAGTTGAATTGGTAAATACACATGGATGTGGAGAATTCAGGCAATCTGTCTTTATTAACGGTTGCTTTCATGGGGCGGACGTAGAAAACGGCATGGGTACCCAACGAAATTAATCGACAAACACACGAAAGAGATGAAAAGAAGAACAAAGATATCTACCGTCCCGAAGGAAGTACTGCTCTTAAAATTATAATTCCTAAATGATGCTACCAAAGAAATTGTGATTCAAAGGTTAAGAAAGGCGGTACAGAAAACATTTAATGTAGCCAGAATGAATGCCGTTTTCTACAACTGCCCCTTAATATGTTATAATTACTGCCTAACATAACTACTCGATGTGTATTATTTCACTGTTGTAAATCATCTGTGTATATATTAGTGTAGAGCCATGATGAAAAACTGATTGGAAATAAATTTCTTCACTCAGTTAGTTCTTTTTTTTTTTACCAAACATAGATGTTATCTTTCAACAGTGATACGTATGGTTTATTGATTACATTGTAAAAACACGAAAATACAGTTTTTAGAGCCTTAGAGAGAAGAGTTATGTTTAAGTCTGAGTCAACAGTAATGAAATAGAAAAATACTTACGACATTTAGTCAATTACATCGAAACCATATCAAAGTTTTATCAATCTCGATTTGTATCAAGTTTCACATCAAACTACATACGGAAATCACAGACGCAGTTAACAGAAAGTATTGAAAGATCTTAGTTAACGAACGAACACGATTAAAAAACAGTGAATAACTTCATTTGCTTAAATATCTTGTATGTGAACCGCAACTTCAGTTTCCTAATACCTATCGAGTCAGTTAACTAATGGTTCAGTCTATCTGGAATTATGTTCTATGAACAAATCGTCAGTTCAGCTAGCTCACTTATTTCGTTATTTCTATCAGTCGTTAAAAACCGCCATAATAGTTTTTCTTGAAAGATTGAGGCACAAAATAAAGATAATATTGTCAATATTAATAATAGGAGGCAGCTGTATCTTGGTGACGAATTCTGAATAGGACGAAACATCCATCCTGAATTCATTTGTTAAGTACATATCAAGCATGCTTAAAAAATTTCTTGAGTTTTGGTTGTCAACTCTAGATTGAGTGACGACTTGGAAACGGACTTAATAAAAGAAATACAAGTATGTAGATGGTTACTTAGTCAATATTTTCCGTTGACATTGAGAGATATTTGTTTTCGGGATAGGGGACGAATATTTCTTCCTACCACCCTTAAACCCACTTGACTTTAACTAAATTTTTGGGCTATATTAGAAAGTGAATTTTTATGACGGTAAACATCATCTATTGATCAGTTCGATCAGTTTTAGGTTAACAAACGAACGATTATTTTCATTTTCAAAATGACCTTTTAATTTCACCTAAAATACTTCAATTAACAGTTGTTACAACCAATGATGACAATGGTTGTAACATGTAACTAAAGTAACCTATTGTGTCATTGAATAACAATAAAGAGAAATCAGAGAGGAAACTACTTATTGAAATCGTGAACCAATCTACGTTAGATCACAACTGAAAATCTGTAAGCACTGGACGGTTATTTCATCCCAGTATGGGGCTCCTCAGAAGTGCTCATCCATCTTGTTTACCAGCTGTTTAGAACCAACACGATCTAATGAATTCAAATTATTCTTGTTTAATGTGAATATAATTTAATTGAATATAAGTTCGCTCTCGCCTACTGTCTCGCTCACTTACTCACTGACAGCTCAGATAAATTCTTCTGATAGTGCCGGGTTATTGATAAATAGCCTATCTCATATGAATGCATTAACATTTACAGCAGAAACGGTGAAATATTAGACTAAGCATATTTTTGGTGTTAATGAATCCATTCTCATGTACACGATGATTCCTTGAAAGTTGAAAAAAGTTTACAGAGTTTGCTAATTGCGAAATAAATGAATGAAACAAAAAACATATAGTTGATAGTTTAGTGCATAACTTTCGACCCACTTTTGTACAGTGGTTCATTATTTGTTACAAAAATTTTAGTGAAGATTTGGTGTGTTTGATAATTGTTTCTTCATGTATGATATAGCAAATATTTGTATTTTTGAATGATCCTAAATTTTTATTGAATAGAGGTACTAATTGGTTTCATATTGTTCTACTCGTTGCTATACTTGAAGATCTTGAGTTTGTTTTTGACTGAGTATATAGATTTTTAATGGTGAAGAAAATTTATACATTAGAATAAAATAATTATCTAATATCATTTGGTTTTCATTGATTCTCTAGATAATATCAATTCGTTATGGGAACGATCTTCATATTTGTTTGTGATTCAAACCTAGTACCTGTCACTTTAAATATCAACATGTTATCCACCAAACTGTTTAGATCAGATACCCATTAATTTGTTTAACGAGTATTGAAGTATTAGACGCAGTACCAATGAACCATCAACCAACATTTGGATTCAAGTGTATTCGATTGATAAATTCCAAGAAGAATAAAGTATACATTTTGGATTTTACTCCTAGTCATATATCAGAGCATACTTTAATTTGTTTATAGTCGACAAAAAATATTATTTGAATTCATGAATCTATCTAAGCAAGACCACCATTGAAAACTTGGAGGTATTGAACAGCTGTTTCGTCCTAGTGTGGGACTCTTCGACAGTGAGCATCCACGATCCCATACTAAGAAGACTCAAACCCAGAATCTTCGGTCTTGCGTATGAACACTTAACCTCTAGACCACTGAGCCACGATTCAACGGTGTTAATATCGAACTTCAATCGATCCATGATCTTGCGCAACCCTTCATCCATTTTCTAAAGTAGATACCTGTCTCTACCCGACATGGAATGGACTCCACTGGTCACGGCTACAATTTTCACAAGCCCCCATTCTGATAAAAAAAAATTATTCAATGAAAATAATTTTACTTTATTTTATATGTTTCAGTTCTTC